TCTTCCCTGTATACGTTGATTGACAGATGTCTCGTCCAGTCAGCAGTGAGTAATCCCAAACCAATGGCGCTGTTTCAAACTATACCTACCTCTTCCGGTTTGTCTGATTTGTCGTTGTGTTTTCTGACTTGTTATAATGTTTTCTGAATTGTTGTTGTGCTTTCTGAATTGTTATTTTGTTTTTTAGACTTGCATTTGCGTTTGTAATTTGTTATTTTGTTTTCAGAATTGTGATTTGCTTTGCACTTCTCGGTCACCGTAGTTTTATATATGAGATGAGGACATGACTGAAACCAGCAAATCCACTGCAAGAAGGCTTCAGCTTTTTAATTTTACTTAACATTATTTTATTTATCCATTATACTGAAGAGACCTTTTTGAAAGATATTGTTTTTTGTTTATTTGTTTTGGTTTGTAATTTTGAGGTGTTCAGTTTTATTTTGGTTTTAGAATATAAACGTGATTGCTCTCCTCACACATCAACTCTTTCTTGTTTTTGTTTCATGCTCTCTGTGCCTTGCCCTGGACTTTTGTGTCACTTCCTGTCTCCCGTGGTGTTTGTAGTCCGTTTGTTCATTGGTTCCCCTTGATTAGTCTCCACAGGTGTGTCTTTTTTTGTTAAGCTTGTTAGCCCCCTGTGTATATATAGCCTTGGTTTTTCTTTAGTTCCTTGTGAGTTGTTGAATGTAATGGTTGCCAGTCATTCTGTTCTTTGTTCCCTTTGGTTTTTGCTTTATTGTTTGTTCTAGTTTTTCCATGAAATACCTGCACATACTGTAGATCCTTGCCTCTGCCTTTTTTTCCGCAGCTTCTCCACAATGTTACAGATTTTCACTGGCATGTCTCTTTGACTAGTGCATCTTTGAGCCTATATTTAGTATATGTAAAATACTTAAGTACTGTTAAAATCAGATTCTCTTTAAGACTTTTACTCAAGTTGTTTTGGAATTGGTGACTTGTACCGTGTAGTGGAGTAATTTTCACTGTAAGGTATCTGTACTTTTACTCAAGTATGGTTTTTAGGTACTCTTTACACCCCTGATGTTAGTTAATACATTAACTAACAATAATTAATGGAACCTTGTTGTAAAGTGTTACCAAAATATTTATAAATGATATTCTCTCTTTTTTCTCTCTCATTGAGCTTGTTTGCGATGCATTCTGGTATTGCTTTATCCCTTAAGGACACATGCATTGCTTTCTTAGATTTTACAGATACGGATAAACATGGGAACCATTCATTTTTACAATCAAGCGTTTATTACAGCGCAGAACATCAAAACTCACCTCGTATAAGGTCAGAGGTCATGTGCGGCCAGCTGTAGGTCCGTACAAGCTGCCAATCAAAATCATCTTCCTGTGCCTGTCTGTATTCACATAGGCTGGGGTCGGAGTCTTCCTCAAACGTGCAGCCAGCTGGAGAGAGATAACACGCTGTTAGAAGCAAACTCTATTTAGATGGCCAATTTACATTGTGTTTTGCTTATGTAGGTCAGTACAAGTGATGTTTTGAAATATTTTGAACTTGGGCAACTTGGGAAAGTGCAACATAAGTCTTGAATTGAAGTCGAACTCGACACTTGTAAACGTGCAGAAATTTACAATGATTTCACACGTACATAGCGGCACCCAGAGTGACACATTTAATGCTTTCCCATGCAAAAACGTCAGCCGATCATAATGGAGGTACTTGAATAAAGACCTCTTAAAGGTACAGTAGCAAAAACAGCCTGCTTAATTGCAAGGGTCAAGGATAGGATGAAAACTTCTCATGTGAAACTAAACTGCGTCTGTTTTTGGTGCATTAAGACTTGACCAACATCATAAAGGATTTCAGGGAATAAAATAAAATGAGTTGATTATGACAAACAACTAAAAGCTCCACATCCACATCTTAAAACTTTTATGAGAACAGTAGGATGATTGCCGCTTTAAGGCAGATGATGCATTTCTGTAAATAACTCTATGTGAGTTTGCTAGCTTTGTAGTGGAAAAGGAACCTCAGGGCTGTTGTGTTCGGGTAATTAAATATTCTGCACAAAACTATGACTTTGTTGCTGTAATCTTTCAGGAGTGATATGTGACTCTGCATCTTTCACTGAGAAGAAAGACTTTGTTCAGATAGGCAGCAAAAATCTATGCTGGATTTTTCAACCTTTAGGCTGATTGGAAAAATGTGCCTCCACCTTCATTTTTGCAAAACTCCCAAAACATACCTATATTTACAATTCCCTGCAGGTTGCAGTTGAGATAAACACTAACGGTAGTAAAACACCAACAAGTTGTATTCCTTTTCACACAAATTATGATGCAACTGATTATGGATTAATAAAGACTTATTTTCAAAAACGTCTTTACTACAGAACTACATTATGACCTCAAAACACTTGATTTGTAAACTAATACATTTTGAAGTTTGCCTCACATATTCAGCTCAATAAATATGGCTTTTCTGACATAGTAAACTTGCTCGGTGACTCACCCGGTACAGCATTGCACTTGCAATTGGCTAAAATGTCATGGCTGCTTCAGTTTTGAGTTTTTATCTCACGTTTGTTTTTGTTAACACTATCGGTTCGCTTTAGTGTACGTGTTACGTTATTTTCAAAACCTACACTGTAAAAAATGAATGTGATTTTAACAGTAAAAGACTGTAAAAATGCTACAGCAAAAACCGGTTAACAGTAAGTTTCCATACTATATACGGTGAATAAATGTAATTACATTTTACAGTAAAATACTGTTAAAAATACGGTTTTTGGAAGTGAAAAATAAAAAGTTATTGTATAATTTTTTTCAGTGAAAAACCGTAAATCGACACTCCCAGAATTCCCTGCGTGATACTTCACATTTCATGTTTTTTTGTTGAAATAACATGTTTCTTCCTAGTTTTTTTCTTATCAGTTGTATACACTAGGGTTTGATCTTACATGTAATGTTGTTAAATTAATGTTAATGCATTATTTCAGTATCACGTGTGTCACCGTGATGGGGTTTAGTGTTTGTGTGCATGAAACTGTGCACCTTCTATATATAAATATTGCCCTCCTCAGCTCCTAGAAAAGCTTTTTTGATTCGCTTTGGTTAATCATGTGACTTTCTCATCACCACGGTTATCAGTGCATTACAATGGTTCAAAACAGATATTAACACTTCAATATGTTGGTTTATTGATATTACATCAGTTAATGAAATACGATATTTTATTGTGAATTTAAGTTAAGTCTGTAAAACCTTAAATGTTGCTACCATGTTTTTTACGGTGAAGTTCTGGCAACCACAGCTGCCGGTATTGTACCGTAAATGTCACTGATTTTTTTTTACAGTGATATAGCATTAACCTAATTTAATTTGAACCTAGCCATTTCATTTCTAAACAGCAGCAATTGTACAAGAACCAAATCTGAACACGCTTTTAGCACCATCCACTGGACATTTCATTTTGAAAGTCTCGGGAAACATGCAAGAAGCAGCGTGATATTATTTTGGTTTTTCCAATGAGCCTGGCTTGAGATTTTTGATTACAACTGTTTTTCTTTGTCATTCAAGGTTCAAACATACTGCAATATTTCAATGTTACTCATTAAAGCTCTCATGAGGCATTCAATCTATTCAAAAGTGAATTAGATAGCAATTTTGGCCACTATATATGCAATACAGTCATTTTCGTATATTACTGGACATTGGCAACACTGTCTAAACAGACAGATCTGTTTGGGGTTCATTTGTTGTAAAATAAAAGTGCGGACAGTGAGTTCTGAAAATTGCATTTGGAACACCAATTTGAATTGTGTGTAGTGTGAAGAAAGGCTAATCACCCGCACTAAAACTAATGAGGCAAGAGAAAAGACTGTCAACGGCGCATGCACTGATGTGGCATCATCTCAGGCAAAAATGATTGAGTACCACATCTGAACTCAGACTCCAGCTAAAAGCTTTTCAGTGCCTTTTGTTTTCCTTAATTGCATTTAATAACTCTGCTTTCCTCGGCTCTGTGTGTAAGTCGAGGTGTGTGTTTCGGCTCAGTTAGCTCCAGGCTTGGAGGACGGGGAGGTCAGGAACGAAACACACGTAATAGACTCATCGCTGGTGTGAGGTGACCCACTCCTGTGTGTGTGTGTGTGTGTGTGTGTGTTTGCGAAACATGCTATCAGCAGGATCTCAACAGTAGCTAATAATACTCCATCTAGAGTAGCATCTAAAAACAGAAGCACTCTCACAACCACATGCTCTCACGCTACATTACAGGTGGCGAAATTACAGCCAGACCCAGGAAAGTGGACCAAACTACTCACACAAACAGCAGAACATCTGAGTAGAGACATGCACGCTCAGCACTCAGATTCTGATTGGTCAATGGCGGAATTTATTCAAATTACATTTAAATAAAATTACACTAACCTGTTGTTGTTGTTGTTTTAAATAAGTTAATACTTGTATTTTGCATGGCTAGATTAAATGATTAAGTGTCAGTTTTTCTATTTATTATAAAAAAAATATGTGTTTAAAATAAATCCTTCATTTGGCATTTCTATTCGTTTTCAGTATTGAGGATAATAATAAGAAATGTTTTTTTTTTATCAGCTAATCATCATATTATACTGATTTCTGAAGATCATGTGACACTGAAGACTGGAGTAATGATGCTGAAAACACAGCTTTGATCACAGCAATAAATTGTATTTTAAAATATATTAAAATAGAAAACAGTTACTTTAAACTGTAATGATATTTCACACTATTACCGTTTTTACAGCATTTTTGTCAAATAAATGCAGCCTTTTTGTGAGCATAAGAGACTTCTTTCAAAAACCTTTGAAGGAGGATTTTTTTTTTTGAATGGTAGTGTATTATTGTATAATTCTCATAAACTGACAGGTAATAATTGATCAGTGTCCCAGGCAAACACTTTCCTAATTAGCTGTGCTAGTCTATCATATTTTGCAGTGCTTTTTAATAAATAAATAAATAGATATTTAAGATCCTTTTATTTTGGCAAGTAGTCATTTATTTTATGATAATAACTAGCTGACTGTACAATATCCTGCTAATTACAGGCCGTTCATTATCGCTAAATAAACCCTTCAGAGCTGTCTGTGACATATACGCATATATAGGAACCGGAAATATGCATTTTGTATAAGAGTTTCTCTATCACATGTAGCAAAGAACAAATCAGTGAGTTTCTATCATGGCATGAGAACTTGTCTCCATCAGATGCGAGCGGCATATCACAACACGTCCAAACGAAATCACTCCCATTATAATCAAAGAAGCTGTCTACACTGAAAGGGCTTGAGTTCAGCTGTTGCTGAAGTGCTGACTGGTGAATGTCATGCCGTGAATGATCTGAGATGACACTTCCACTGTAGACATGATGTAAGTGGGGAATTCAGATTGAAATGCTATTCAGTCTGAGATTTATTTAATTTTGATGTTCCTCTTGTTAGGCTATACTTGGCAGATTGTCCAAAAACATACAGGTGCTGGCTAATAATACATTTTCTGGATACAGGTTTACTTCTGAATCATTCCAAATACACAGCAAAAGAATCATCATGCATTACCAGTACAGTCTGTGGTCACACTTTACTTTAAGGTCCAATTCTATTAACTATTAACTACGACTTTTCCATCAATAAACTCCCAATTTGCTGCTTCTTAATAGTAGGTAGTTGTTAAGTTTAGGTATGGAGTGGATTAACGGATCTAGAATGTGATCATGCAGAATAAGACATTAACATGTACTTTATAAGTACTAATAAACAGCCATTATGCTAGTAATCCATTCTAATAAGCAACTAGTTAATAGTGAGAACTGGTCCCTAAACTAAAGTGTTAACCAGTCTGTAAATGCACATGCGATGCATTTGCACTAAAAAGCATTGCATTTTTGATGGCAAGTGGAAATGATGAAATTACCCACAGTATCTATCAGGGGCAGTTTCTTCATTAGGGCGACGCTCCACCGAAGTGTGAAAGGGAGGGATTTTTTTTTCTTCTATCACATTCAACCACAGTGTTAGGCTAGCTGTCACGGTTCTAGACTGTTTGTTCTGCCTCTGGAAATATAGTCCAATCATCGATGTCACATTCTGTGGAGTACCGCCCCTTTTTGGTCAATTGATCTCTGGTCAAGAATCGCCCAGACTGTTCTTATAGACTTCCATACAAAGATTTTATTTAATTTTTTTTCAATCTCTATGAGTTCTGGGAGGGTGAGCGCTAACGTGCTTCCGTCATCATACGTAACATTAACTGTGCAATGGGTATGGGCTGAATAAAGCAAACCAGTATCTCAGCAGTAAAGTTTTGATTTCGATTGTAGTGGAGGTAAAGATGATTACAGTGACATACAGGAGTCGTACATTATTAGACACGTTCGAGTCCGTTATTCTTAGTCTGCAAATAAACAG